ATAAAAAGGTATTTAATAAATATAAAGTAAATTAATACAAAAGAAAATTTAATTGAATAAAAAGAAATTATTTTCATAAGAATATTTAATCCAATACAAAGGAAATTATTTTATAAAGTAATTTAATTTTATCAAAAGGAAATTATTTTTGAAAAGAAAATTTAATTCAATACAAAGAAATTTCTTTTATAAAGTAATTTTACCCAATCAATAGGAAATTAATTTCAAAAGGGAATGTTATTCATTAAAAAGAAAATTATTTATAAGGTAATTTATTTAAGTTTATAAAAAATGTCAAATATATTTTAAGAAGAAGAAGCAATTATGAAGATGTCTCGATCAGACGCAAATCAATCGATTCCATCAGAATCAGCTTACTATGGTTTGCTACTTTAAGGAAAATATTTACCAAATTTACCTTTTCAATTTACACATCTGATTATTTTTAGGGGTGCTTTTTGAATAAATATATGTTCCAAATTTCGAAGAAGCTTAAATAGGCTTACTACTTAAGACCATTATAAAGTACGAATTGATTGATGAAGTATCAAAAATCCCAATCTAATAAAAATTTAGGGAATTGATTAGAAATAAACTCCTGACAAAGATTGGATTATTAATGTTTAAAATCATTAAAACCAGATCATTTTTTCTTTTTAAAAATATAAATAAGATTGTAAATATGAAATGAAGACATATAATCAAAAGAATAGATTAAGTAAACTTATAACATATTGTATAGAAACACAAAGGAACTTGATTTATTAATGGGAAGAAAAATTAACGTGAAAAGGTTCTTTCGAATATCAAAAGAAAATAAACAGAAGCATAATAATAAAAAAAGCAATTAAGTAATAAAATTTGGAAGGAAATATGGAGAGAAAGATTAAGAGCATAGGTGATTATGAAAAAAAAAGAAAAGAAAATTTACACCTATCGATTTTTATCACCCCATAGATTTTACTATTTATTTAAAAGAACTATAATTAAATTCAATAATAATATTCTTAATTAGCTTTTATTTGTTCTCACTTAATTTAAATATCATTTTCTTAATCTTCTTGATAAAATTATTCCAAAGAATACGGATGTTAAACTTAACTTTTAATTTAATATCTAGTAAATTTAGATCGGTTTAGTGTTCTTTTTCATTAATACTTTCTGCTTAACTCAATTCAACACATAATATTATTTACCATTTCCAACATTTATTATTTATTCTTATTTCTTTAAACTTCTAGTTAAGATTTAATTCTCTTTATACGCTTATTAACATTAGTTTGGTAATTATTCTGAATTTTTTTTTGATCTTCCCAGCTGAAAAGATTTCTTTTGCAGAAAAATGGAGATAAACAAAATTGGAAAGGAGGCATCACGCATATAGATGTTCTAGCTATATAAAAAGATTGAATCTAAATCAACTAATTTAATATTCTAAGTTCAATTTTGGATAGAGATTTTTTCAAATTATTAAAGATACTAAAATTATTTTCTTAAATTAAATTTATAATTATTAATTTATATTTTTAACATAATATATCGAATACTTAATTCAAGATTCTAAATAAGAAATTTAATAATAAATTAGTATAGTTGTTAATTTCATTTAAAATCATTTAACAATAAAAAAATATAAGATTATACATTTATAAAATTTATTAATTGATTACATAATTCAATTATTAACACTATAAGCTAATAAAATAAAGGCAGATTTTAAATATATAAGAATAAAAGAAATGTGAAAAAATCAAGGCTCGTCCATTTATAATCAAACAACCCCCCTTTCTTCTTTTAGTTTATAGTCTTATCATAATAAATTAGAATTGAAGTAACAAAGATAATCAGTATTATGGAAGCTAAATCATAGAAGGATACTTACGAAATATTGTCTTATTTTTAGAAAATTCAAATAGTAGCTTTGGCGGATGTATAATAATTAAGAGCCTTTATTTAATAAAGTGAAGAATTTAAGAATGTTTTAGAATTAAAAACATGAGCTTATTTTGAATTTGTAAGTTATAAAAAAGAACAAAAGAATAAAAATACTTAAGTCTAAGATTTACCATATCAAATCTAAAATAATATGGATTAATATTTAGTATCTGAATAATTATAATCAATTTCTTTATCCAAATATTCAAGTATTACAATTAATAATAGTATTTCGAGAGGATTATATGAATATACTTATTTAAAGAAGAAATCAGATAATATATAAAACACATAATGAAGATAGTAGTCCTAAAAATGGGATTGTGTAAGTCTATGATATATGCAATGCTCCTAAAATTTTATATTCTTATGATTTGGAATCAATAAAAAATATAAATTCTAAATATATAATCTTTAAATTTATAATTAATAATAACCTTTAAAACAACATTTATTTATTTTATATACTTTTTTAGTAACTAAAATTCCATTATCTAATCAACTTTCTGTCTTACTTTCTTCTAATCTTCTTCATTTAATCCATGTATATTAAGTATATCTAAATCTTAATTTTTATCTCCCTTTATTGAATTAAGAGAATTCAAGTGATACCACAATTTCTTTTCAAAACTTAAACCAGGTTGTCTAGCTAATACATGGCCTATCCTGATGTCATCTTTAATTATGTTTTAAAAATGACATTTAACTCTATTAGAAAGAGCATAACCTACTTCAATATTTTATTCCATTTTTAAAATCAAATGCCAATTGTCTTATTGAAAAGTTTTAAATTAATAAAATCATTTCAATATTTTCCCTTTAGTATATGTTCAGATTCACTAATAAACTTTAATATACACTTTATTATTATTATTCTAACATAATTTATATTTCATCTTTTTCATTTTTAAATAATTAGTATCAGTTGGTTTTTCAGTTGTTTTTGCAATTTAAAATTAATAAGAAGAAGTTTTTCATTTTCTAAAATTTATCATATAACCAAATTTAAAATGAAAATAATTAATAAATATATTATAAATTTCTTTTTTAAAAACACTCTTTATCCTTAAGGATAAAATTTTTTGTTTATTTATAGAAATATAATATATTTTAACCTAATACAAAAAGCAATAGGGATAAAATAAAAATAATTGAAATTTTATAAATAATTGCAATCTAAACAATTAATAAGCTGAAAAATAAAAGTAATTAGGTTATAATAAATAAACTTGCCAAGTTAATGATCAAGAAATTATAATGAAAGTTTATTATTAAAAAAATATAATGATGTCATTAAAATAAAAGATTTATGCAAATGCTCATTTTCTTTTTACAAAATGAATTTTTCAAGTATAAAATTATTACCATCACTCTTTTTCAAAGTGTTTTGATTTCAGGGGAATTATCGATTCTTATAATAGAAAACAGTTTCAATACTTGTTTTAATAATTAAATTGTTATAATTACAATGCAAAGTCTAGTAAATGATATGTAAAAATAACATACAAAATATTTTTGAAAATAAATTTAATTAATGAGGAGACATGTCTTAATTAAAAATTATTCTAATTTCTTTTTTAAGTTGATTAAAAATAAAATTAGAATTTAAAAATCACTTTTTTTGTAGAAAAAAATAAAATAAAATATATTAATTTAATTATTAAAACATGTATTGAGACTGTTTTATATTATAAGAATCTATAATTCCCCTGAAATCAAAACACTTTGAAAAAGAGCGATGGTAATAATAGTAGATTTATGATATTTTTTAGTGACGAGCATCAAAAAAAAAACAAAAAAAGAGCCAACCTACATCAGTAAAAAAATATAATATTGAATGAACAAAACTACAGAGAAACAAAAAATTAAGTATAATAAATTAAAAATAATAAAAAATCTACATTAAAAAATAAAATATGATTAAATTATAAAGTAAAAACAAAAATAAAATAGCTAATTATGTCCAAATTTACACCATAGATTCTACAGATTTAGAAAATAAACACAGATTGAAAAAAATAACAATAGCAGCATCACACGATATTTAAATCTAATTGCTTTTGATAAAATATATTCTTTATAAACAATTATTTAATGATATTATTTTTATAATTGTTATTATCTCAATTATCATATATTTTTTATCCTCAAAAATTATTTTAATCGTTTATTGTTTACAATTTTATCCAACAACCAATTTTATCCCCATAATTATTATATTGGCCAATTTAAGTCACTTAATAGTTATTATTAAATTCATCATCCAATTCAGTCCATTATCCAATTTTAATACCATTTTAATATTCTCCACCACCACTAAAACATTTAAGTACTTTATATAAAATATTTTACATTTGTTTAAATTCATCATTCTAATTTTTTCTAAAGTTAATTACCCATGGACCCTATTTTATACCATTTTGATATTTTCCCTTATAAATTGCTTATTTTTTTTCATTAAATTCTTCATTCAAATCAGTCCATTATCCAATTTTATTCCCTGCATAATTATACTATCCACCACCACTAAAACATTTAAGTACTTTATATAAAATATTTTACATTTGTGTAAAATCATCATTCTAATTTTTTCTAAAGTTAATTTCCCATGGACCGTATTTTATACCATTTAGATAATTTCCCTTATAAATTACTTATTTTTTTTCATCAAATTCTGCATCCAAATCAGCCCATTATCCAATTTTAATACCTTTTTAATATTCTCCACCACCACTAAAAGTACATTATATAAAATATTTTACATTGGTTAAAACTCATTTTTTAAATTAATATCCCATCTACCAATTTTATGATTATTTTTCGATTAGCCTCTATAAACAACTAATTCGTTTGAATCATAATTCACAAAACCACCTTTAATTTACCCTTATATTATGTAACCACTATCCTCTGAATCAACTTCATCACTACTAAGAATTTTATAATTAGAAACTTTATAGATATGATATTACTTTTATTAATTTTAATTGCTCGAAAACACTTTTGCATAAATATCCCATATATCAAACTTTTTTCCATTAATAGAGCGTTATTTAAAAAGACCATTAATTTTTCTTAAAAAATTAAAGAGATTAAATAATACTTTTTTTATTTGGATATTTGATTTCCAAATTCATCATAAATCTTGGATCCTCTGTATTTTATATATATATTTATAATACTGCCAATAATATTTTTATTATCTTTGTGCATCAGCCCTTACATAATAATACCCGGTCTTGTAATTCAATATTTATTATCTTCCATATAAAAAGGTATCCCATAAACCAAACTTTTTACCATTTTTATATTTCCCTATAATAATTCTATATCTGTGATTTTAGAATCCCTCATCTAAATCGGTCCACTATCCTACTTTAATACCTGATTTAGAATAAAATCCACCACCACTAATTCATTTATAATTGGCTTTTAATATAAAATCTTTACACATATGTAAACTTATTCTCTTGATAATATCTAAAACAAATATCCCATTTACCAATCTTTTAACCATTTTGATAATTTCCCTTATAAATTGCTTCTTTTTCTTCATTATATTCTTCATCCAAATCAGTCCATTATCCAATTTTAATACCATTTTAATATTCTCCGCCACCACTTATACATTTAAGTACTTTATATAAAATATTTTACATTGGTTGAAATTCACCTTTCTAAACTTTTCTATAGTTAATTACCCATGAACCCACTTTTACACCATTTTGATATTTTCCCCCATAAATTATTTATTTTTCAATATTGAATTTTTCATCCAATTCAGTCCATTATCCAATTTTAATACCTTTTTAATATTCTCCACCACCACTAAAAGTACATTATGTAAAATATTTTACATTGGTTCAAATTCACCTTTCTAATCTTTTCTAAAGTTAATTATCCATGGACCTACTTTTATACCATTTTGATATTCACCATTATAAGTTACTTATTTTTCAAAATAAAATCCCTCATCTAAATCAATCCATCTTCCAATTTTTATACCTTCTTGATTATATTATCCACCACCGCTATAATTTTTAGTTGAGAACTTTATATAATATAATTTACATTTTTGAAAATGATTAATTGATTTCCAATCTATACTTAATGTTCCATCTACCAGTTTTTTTTCCATTTTCATAATTACCAGTCATAATTACTTATTTAATACAGTTGAATTCTTCATCCAAATCGATCCATAGCCCATTCTTCAAGCCATTCCCTTTTTCATCATATTATCCTCCACCACTAATACATTTATAATAGCACACTATATAAAAGTATTTTACATTATTGTAAATTTATTAATCTCATCTTGTCTAAAACAAATATCCCAACTGCCCACTTTATTACCACAATTATATTCACCATTATAAATCACTTACTTTTGATTTCTAAATTCATCATCCAATTCAATCCATTAACCTATTTTCATATTATGCATTTCATTTGAATATTTTCCTCCACCACTAAATATTAAACAGTAATGTACATCTCAGCCTTTTTATATATATATTTCCATTTTCCTACTCTATAATTATTTTGATATTGACCGGTTTCAAATACTTTGGCTTGGCTATTTTTAAAAAATTTTTAATTTACCTAAAATAATTTTTAAATAATTCATTCCATAAACCTATTTTCGATCCATTTTCATAATACCCCTCAACATTTTACAATCTTCTCTAATTCCAAAAGGCTTTCCATTTTCCAAATTTTTTATTATTAGTTCCTTATTCTCCTTTCCATTCCAGCTTCATGATCTATTCCAAATTATAAAATATTTTGTCATTATAGTCGGGTTAGTTTTGGCGGGAT